GCATCTTGTGCTTGCTAGTGGGGTATAAACTAAAGTAGTGCTTAAAGAAAAAGGCAACCTTGTTGGGAGTGATTTTAGTTGTAAAATGAAATTGGGATTGAAGAATTTGCGCTTAAAGGTTATCAAATGATGTGTTAAAGTGCTTAGGAGGTTGAGTCACTATTCCTAAGTATATCCTACCCATCCCTTAGCCCACATTACAACCACAAAATAGTCCTAATTGATTTTAGATTGAGTGAGCCTATATTAGTAGAGATGTACATTAAGGGCAAGCCTATGGTACCAACTGCATGCATGTGACTTCTTTGTGAGAGTGAGCGATATTTCTTTGATATATGAGTCCTTAAAATATATTTGAGAATTTGATTCGAATGTGTGGATTCTTCTTATTCGCTTTGCTTTTGTTGTGAGGGCACATGGTTTCACGAGGGATAGGTAACATTATTATACTTCTCTACGATGTTGAGTGTTCAAGCCATGAGTGCATTGTGACATTGAGTTGGTTTTTGAGGCTAGGATTGTTATGAGTATGTTGTCTTTGTTTGAATAGTTTTGAAATATGTCATAAGTTAAAGGGAAGTGTGTGTTGAATGCATATGCTAGAACATAATTGCTACTATCAACCATGGTCATAGGTGTGGTGTTCTTTGAAAGATAAGAGCTTTATTTTATTTCGTCTACTATAGGGATGGTTTGTTCGAGGACGAACAAAGGTTTAAGTGTGTGGTGGTGATGTTGGGCATATTTTTATATGTTTTGATGGTACTTTACCCATGTTTTAACCGCTTTTTGGTATTAAAAATGCCCAACATGGTTTAATTATTAGTTTTATGACTAATGGAGTTGTGTGGGATGATTTAGGGTGTTTGGAGTGCAAAAATATGAAGAAAATGTGCTCCAACTAGAGAAAAAGAGGTTGGATGCGTCACATCCAACCTTGGAAAGAAGATACTTGGTGCACCCCTTAGCAGTGAAGTCAGCCCATAGCATCCCCATAGCATCTGCAACTGGGCAAAGCTGAGATGGACGAACAAAGGGTGGATGCGAAGCATCCACCTTAGCATGCGAAGCTGAGAAGCGGAGGACGAGGTGGATACAAAGCATCCACCCTAGCATCAATCCCTGAAGCTTATTCGGACTAGGATTAGGAGAACTTTGGCCCACGACCTTTGTACGCAATATATAGGCCAAAACACCCCTTTTAGGTCATCTAACATAGATCTAACACACTTTTTGAAGGGAATTCGACCGAGGGAGAGCAAGGAGCCGCCGTAGAGGCCGGGTTTCATCTTTCTTTCACCCAAACTTAGTAATTTTTATACTTCTTTGTATGATTTGTTATTTTGCTACCATGTCTATGTGGAGCTAAACTTCACGTTCTAGGGTTGTGGTTCTTTCATGACTATTGTTATTCGAATATTGATTTTGATTTCTTAGTTTATCATATTAGTTTATTTACTCAATCCTGCACTTAATTATTTGATTGCTTGATCACCAATTGAATACTATCTACGAATCTAGAATTGAGCTCGAAAGTGGGAATTCTAGATTGCATATAGGATTGAATAGAGCAAGTTCTTGAACCTGGGCATCGGGGAATGAATTCGCGGTTAGGATAGACATATACCTAATTGCCTTGCTTGGTTGATTTACAGAAAAATGCATTCTTGTTAGTTCTAACTCCATAGACATATAGGCGTTAGGTTAGCTTGAATAGGCGAGTAAGAACTCGACAGATTCTTATGAGCAATATTAACCCTGTTAACCATTAAACTAGATAAATTAGTTAGTCAATTCAATTGAAGAATACAATAGGAATGTTAGATAGCCCATAACCCTAGATCGTTTTCATCATATTGATAACATAAAAATCTGCTCTTCCTCTGTTCAAAGTTCATTATTTATTTTTATTTATTTTAATTAGTTTAGAATCGAATACTTCTAGGTTTAATTCTTGTTTAGATAATTAGGATAGCCTAATTTAGTTAATAGTTAATCACAATTCCTCGTGGGATCGACATCCGACTTTTAGTCACTTTATTACTTGACGACCGCGTATACTTGCGTGTGCGTTTGGCCGCAACATTAGTCAACCCAAATGACTTGACAAGAAACTCGTACTGCCTATAATGGGTCCAAAAAGTTATCTTTGAAATGCCTGACTCCCTTATCTTCAATTGATGGTACCCTGACCTTAAGTCAATCTTAGAAAAGAACTTCGCACCCAGTAACTAAAATGATACTTGCTTTATAGTAACTTTTTTTTAACTGTAAGTAGTCAATACACATACGCATAAATCTATACTTCTTCACAAAAAAGACCGGAGTACCTGATGTTACAGTACCCAACAAGAGTTGGGGTCGGAATTCCACAAGGAGTTTGTCAGGGGTGTTAGGATAGACACTTGATGAGAGTACGTGAAATAACTCAATTACACTTCCAACAAAGGGTTTTTGTCTTCTAACTCTAAAATTAACACTAACAAATGTAAACTAATTAGGAGGAACTAGAAAATGAGTAAATTTTTTGTTGATGTTTTTAAACAAATGAGAAAAAGCCTAGGGATGTAACCTTCGCCTAGGTGCTAACCTAATGGGTAAATCACGTTAATTCTTATTTTATTGACCAGGGTGTATTATAACTCTCAACTCTTAATTACCCAATCAATACCTCTCGGTTATAGAGCGTTTATGCCCAAATTGGCCTTCTCAAGTCCAATTGGGTATCAATTCAAACAATTGATATGAGCTCAAGTCAGATTTTTCCTATCTCTAGTTCGAACCCTTTAATTAGACTAGTCAAAACCTTAACTAGCTCAATTTTTTGTTAGCCAGGTTTTTCTAGACTAAGTCCTTCTTTCTCAAGTAAGAACCAAGTCAAATAGGCATGGATCAATATAGCAACCATTAATTCTAGATATAATGCATAAACAAGGCTAAATAATAAGTATCCAATCATAAACAAGCATTCAATTATCAACCCATAAGTTTACACACTAGGGTTAGGTCACAACCCTAGAGAAAATCTAGCTACTCATGCTAGAAAGTGAAGAAAACAAAGAAGTATTTTTTATTTATTTATAGTGCCCTAAAATTCGCTGACAAAAATGCCCTTCGCGAGGTTCTACGGTCGCACAATTCCATGTGTGGTACGCACTTTTCTTCTCTTCTTCAGTTGAAGGATTCTGCAGCCGCACAATTCCATCTGCGGCTGCACTTCAGCTTCCGCGGCCGCACTTTTCCATATGCGGCTGCACTTTGGCAAGGCTTCACAGTCGGTTGTTTTGCACCTTCTCAAAGCTTTTGAAATCTTGTCGGTGCGACCAGGTTTTGCGGCTGCACAATTTGATGTGCGGACCGCACTTGTTAGAAATTCCTCTGAGGCTCAGGTATCATCTTTGCGGCCGCAGATGTTATTTTCTAATTTTTGTTCCTTATAAATTCAGTTGTTACTATGAATTATGAGTATCCCATGCCATAGTTTAGAATCTAATTTGGTTCTTAAGGCGTGATTTAGCGATAATTACTCGTTGTTCAAATGCTTAAAGCAGAATAAGAAAATATGGTGAGCGAATACTCATCAACAAAGGCTCATTGTTGGAGAAAAAAAATACCTCGGTAGCTGCCTTAAGACTTCAGAACTATCAACCTAATAAGATGCTATGATCATTCAAGTCATGGTGGAAAGAAAATTATGGTAAATACTCGATGCAATTCAACATGGTGGGAAAAAACAAAGAGAGAAGCTAGAAGAAAAAAAGAAATTTATAATATAAAAAACATACAATAAGAATATTAAAAGAATTGTGACTCAACATATAAATGAATATATGATTGTCGGTAATTTTATGTCTTTCACTTCTTGAGTTCAACAAATGACTACGAAGGATGCAGTAAATAAAAGGGATTTAACGGGCTAATTAATGGGTTTTAAAAAAACAAGTATTGTTTTAATTCGATGGCTTTCTATTAGGTGGAGGATATTTTTAAAATGTTTGGCTAAGGGAAAGGATAGATGTGGCCCTATAATATAACGGAGGACAGATATGGCCCGATAGTATTACGGAAGGTAAATATGAACAATATACAAAAGTAGAGGTATATTTGGCCATTTTCTTTTTTTTTTTTTTGGTTGGCATAACGGTTCCTGGTGTTTTCCAACAAAATGACCGATAATGTTCGACTAGTCAGCATAACTTTGTTTCCTATTATTGGGGCATAACGGTTCCTGGCGTTTTCTGCAAAATTGCCAAAATGCTCCCATCCCACTTGCTTTACTAAGTAATCAAAATGAAAAACATAAGAAAATCTTTCAAATTAGCCAACAAACACAACAGTTTAAGGTTGTGGAGCCTATCATGGATTAATAAACTAGAAAACGACGCAAAAAAGTTTAAGGCTGTGGTGACCTCCCACAAATAAACAAAGACATTTAAAAATAAAAATAAAATCTTGATAATAAGAAAATGCAAATACCTAAATAACGTAGAACATTAGGCTATATTGGTGCAAAATCAATTAAAGACGATTACTTTTTCTCTTTTTATTTTATTTTATTTTCTTTGTTGACACTATTTTATTTATAGTCTAATTTTTTTCAAAAATAAATACTTGTGCATTTAAAATTATTATGTTTGTTCCAATTTACATGGCGTAATTTTCTTTTTATTATGTTTTTCTTTTCTTCTTAATTCCATGCCCGTATCACATAAATTTTCGATGGAAAAAATAATATTTAAACTTAACCCCTCACTATATTTTTACTGACATCTATGATTTGTTACTATTTACTTAATACGAATTAGCTAATTATCTTATTAAAGAGAAAGATGAAAAGATATGTTGAACTAGTACTATATCTCATTTAATTGTTGATTACTAATAAAGGCAATTCTAATACTTACCGTATAATTAGTTTACGCATTAATTATTTTTATTTCTTAAATTTCTTGTCCTCTCAAACTATATATAGTAACATATTCATGGTTCTAATCCTCTCCTTCTTCCGCAGCATCAAGTATTTTGTCCATTTTATTTCCACGCTTTCTTCCTCCCTTCACACCATCTTCAACATTACTATACCCTTTCTCTTTACTCTTCACTCTTCACCTTCACCATGCCAAGACAGAAAGGAGAAGTATGCTTCTCTCTCTGTGTGTGTGTGTGTGTGTGTTAGTGTGTGTGTGTGTACTGGTTTTCATGCTTCCATTTTCTTATCCTGTCTTTGTGTCGAGCTGCATGTTTTGTGTATCACTGCGCGTCTTATATACATCTTCAAGGATTTATCAACAGTACTTACTGCATTAGTTCTCTTTTTGAGCATCTACAATTCAGTCATAATATGTACCTCTTAGTATATTATATATACTTTTCCTTTCTCAAGATGTATCCAAGAATCTAATTAAGTTGGGGTGGGAGAGGAAGTTTACAATAATTATATATACTTTGGAAGTAATTAGATTTTCTCAATGGTTATTTGCATGGCTTATTGAATTTTTTTGTTATCTTTATGTAGTACTAATTATCTTTCTCAAAAAATTTCCTCATTTTTTCAAGGTTATGTGGCCAAGATTGGTAGCTAGTAAGGTCCTAAAGAGATTGGGGAGCACCAACTTCGTGGCAGATTTTCCAAGTGATTCAGAATATTTATTAAAGATTCCCCATTTTGATAAAAAATCCTTCAGTTCTAATGACATTATTTTCAATGATCACGAGGACACTCAAAACTACAGGTAATTAGAGGAGAGCTCAACATACTAACCATTAATTTCAACCACTAATTAGATTTTAGTGGTTAGTGCTCAACCAATGAAATTATTGAAACATGTATTCTATTTTATTAGTACTATATTGTTTTTAAATTCTCAAAAAAGAATAAAGGAATGATTCTGGGAGATTCCTATATTTTCTAGAAAGGGTTTAATTTTTCCTGGATAAATATGTTTTTTTCCACAGGGTTTTTGTTAATACATGGAACGTTGGAGGAGTTGTACCAAGTGACGATTTCAATGTGGATGATCTGCTTGGCACATGCCACACTTCATGTGACATCTATGTTTTTGGGTATTTTCTTATTGCACAAAATGTTTCTTTTAATTCAATTTAATTTCAAAATGAAACTTTTTTTAACTGGTAAAATATATGAAGGTTTCAAGAAGTAGTGCCACTAAGAGCAGCAAATGTTCTTGGATCAGAGAGTGGTAGGATTTCAGCAAAGTGGAATTCCTTAATAAGAGAAGCTCTGAACAAGAAAACAGCCAAAGGAGTTGGAAATGAAGACACTAAACAGAAAGGAAAGGAAAATACGAATGGAAATGAAAATGATGAAAATGGCCAAATTCCACAAGAATTCAGTTGTATTATCAGTAAGCAAATGGTGGGAATATTGATATCAGTATGGGTTCGAAATGATTTTCGTTCCTTCATTCGAAACCCTAGTGTCTCTTGTGTTGGCTGTGGCATCATGGGTTGCTTAGGCAACAAGGTAATCGATATAGTTATTAATATTATTTTCATCATAAATCCAACTTTCCAAGAAAGAAAATTCTCTTTCCTTTTCAAGAACTATAATGCTCATATATCCGTTGCTAACGAAGTTGGGTTATTTTACGTTTAAATAGCAACTTTATTATGAATTTTTCACCCGTCTTATCGTTTAACGCATAAATATATATAGTAACCTGACTTTTCAAATTGATGTTATTTCTGGATTAGGATATATAAATTTTCACCTGTCTTACTATGAAAGTTGATTAGCTAAACCACAACTAATTTATATAAACTCACATAATTTTTTTGTATTATCGTGTTTTAATTTATGCTAAAAGGAAGTTTATTCTTTATATTTTTTTTTTTGGTTTTCGAAGGAATATTTTATTGACAGTATTGATAATATCTTTTATTATGTATAATTATGTCTAAAATTTACTCTTGCAGGGTGCAGTATCAGTTAGATTTCGGTTGCATGAAACAAGCTTATGTTTTGTGTGCAGTCATCTAGCTTCTGGTGGTAGAGAAGGAGATGAGAAAATTCGCAATGCAAATGTTGCTGAAATATTTTCAAGAACAACTTTTCCAAAAGGCTCCTCCCTTGAATTACCAAGAAAGATTCTAGATCATGAGTATGTCAATTATTTTAATTAAGGTCCTTTAATATATCTTAATTTAATAAAACCGTCCAAAAAAGATCTGTTACGATTACTTTGATTAATCGCCTTTTTTTAGTTAATTCTAATCTATGACAGATATTTAGGGTAATAAGACATGAGTACGTCCAGTTAATTAAACTTAACAACCAATTAATTATTGGTTGTTGAAGAGTTAAACATTGTCTTGTTAGTTGAAGCCGCCAATAGAATCACAATTAAATAGTAACAAATCAAAAAGAATACAAAAGAAAAAGACAATTTCCAACTTCGGCAATTTGCCTATTAATTATGAAGAGATCACTTTCTTAATCTTGTTGACTTTCAACAAGTTGTAAAAGTATAACTATTTTTTGTACGAATGGTAGGAAAAGTTGATTATTTTTACGTTAAGATCACAAATATCAATATAAAAAGTAAATATCTGTGTCACATCACAATCAATTTTACATAAAATACACAAATATCATTTTAAAAAGCAAATATCTTCATGACATCACTTTTAACCTAATTTTTGAATTGGTTGGTTGTAGCCGAGTGATATTGCTTGGAGATTTGAACTACAGGATTTCTCTACCAGAATCAACTACAAGATTATTAGTGGAACAAGGAGAATGGAATGCACTCTTGGAAAATGATCAGGTAGCATATGGATTAAATATCAAAATCAAAAATTATTGTTTCTCAATAATTACAAATTAATAAACAACTAGAACTAAGATCTTAAAATGTGTCATGATAAAATAGTTGCAGATGGAGCTAATGGATGGACAAGTATTTGAAGGTTGGCAAGAAGGAATGATCAAATTTGCCCCTACTTACAAATATTATCTAAATTCGAGTGATTACTATGGTAGAACAGAGGTCAAAAGAGGCGAAAAGAAACGTGCTCCTGCATGGTAAGTTTGTTATTTACTTGTAATTCAAGTAACACAAATAAAATGCAGTTCTTCTATGTTTTTGTCTCTATATATATGTGTCATCTGCATATCTTGCTCATGAGAGATGGCTTAAAACATAGATGACAGTATCATTAAGAATTTAAGTTAAAAATTACTCAGTCTGTTTCAAAGAGATTGTCACTATTTTCTTATTAGTCTGTTTTATTAAGACTGATACCTTTCAATATTTTCTTAATAGAAAGCATTTATAGCTACATTAAGTTTAAAAACACAAGTTTCAAAAGTTCTAAAGCCACTCAAAGACTTATTTAAGATCACATATCTCAAAAATATTTTCTTCTTTATTAAAGTTTGTGCCAGGTCAAACTAGGACAATCTTTTATAAACGGAGGGAATATAATATAGATAATTCTACACTATTTGTGCAGTTTAACTTTAACCGGTTATAGCATATTTTTACTCTATTTTCTAGGTTGCCAGGTTGATGTAAGTCAATTTAACATGATAGTGTAAAATTTTTTTACACAACAAATAAGTTCTACTTTTACACATCCCTTTGCTTAATACCTGACATATGCAGAAACGGATTCAAGACTTAAACTCTATGGGTTCAACGTTTAATGTTTTGAGCATTGATCCTATTATATATATTGTTTTAATTATGGGTTCTGACCTACTATTTATTGTATTCTGAGTTATTTTTCCCCTTAATTTAAAATAACAACAAAAAAAAAAGGTGATAAAGGCTAATTTAATTTCTATTTTGTGGAACTACATCAGGTGTGATAGGATAATTTGGTATGGAGAAGGGTTAAAGCAACAATTGTATGCAAGAGGTGAATCAAGATTATCGGATCACAGACCAGTGATGGCAATTTTCAGCACACAAATAAGAGTATCAAGAAAGTTGAAGAGATTACAAAGTTTCTTTTTATCAGAAAGATTTGAGCAGATCACAAGCCGCTTAGAGATGCACTCACCAAAAGATGACTTTCCATGTAATGCCAGATTAAGCCTGCAACTTAAACATATATAGAATAACACTTCCCCTCCCCAAAAATATAGTATTGTGTGATCTTGACTTTTGTAATATAAATCTGAGATCATGAAGAAAAGAACCTTTTTAAGCTAATGAGTATTGTGAATCTCAGTATGCAGAAGTTACATAACCATACAATGGCGAAGCCAGAAATTCTAACAAAATATTCAAAAGATGCAAAAAATCCTACATTGAGGACTTAGACTTAACCCATGATCTAAAGCAATTTTTCGATCACCTTCATCACTGCGCCAAAAACTTTCATTATGTCAAGGGATCTATAAATCACATTATATCAAAAAAAATACGTAATTTTTTTTTACGTTATTTATATATCTAGTATAATTTATCGATGAAGGAACTAATTGAACCTTCTTTTTACCTTTAGCTTTGGCACTTTTTATACGGTATATATAGAGAGAAATAATATCAATTTATGGAGAGCGGCAATTTATAGAATTCTAATGAAGTTGAAAAACAAAAATGCTTAGCTCTCTAATAAGAGAGCTAAATAATGCTTTCACGTAACCCAATTTTTTAAGGACATAAAAATATCTCACAACTTTCCTTAGAATATTTTAACTGAAAGCGCAAGGTAACCATGTATATTGTAACTTGGAATATTTTATTCCACCGTGTTATTATCAGTGACCAATATATGTCAAAATCAATGCTTTCTCCATCCAGAAATAAAAAAACGTTTCCTCCATCCAAAGATTTTTATATTTACTTTTTTTTCTTTATAATTTAACTATGCATAAAAAATATCCCACCTGCTTTTGTTTTTATTTAAGTTCTTGGATAAAGAAATTGAAGGATTTGCAAATGATTGGCACCATCTTTCAAGCAATTTTGATTGGATAGAAACGGCCAATCAGATTGGAGAAATTCGTATATTAATTAACAATATTTGATTACTTTGTACACACAGACACACGTTACGATTTCTTAATTCAAGAATAATATACTCCACCTTTTTCTTTTTAGTTTAATTTTTATCTGCGGACTTGGTTGTTGGTTCATGAAATATTGAAATAAAAAAGTCTGATAACTCAAGACTATAAGCATGAGAATTTGCTCTAATCCAGCAAATAGTTGAAAAACTCGAATTTACAATTTTTCTTTTTAAACTCCATCCTTCAGTTATTTATGTTTCTATAATTGAAATGATAGTCATCTATCATACGCTACTCAAGAAGATATACTAATCATTACAACTAAAATACGATTTTTTTTTTTTAATTTTTGACGATAATTCATTCACAGCGTAAGATACAATCACATAAGATTACTTAAAAGATAGTACTCATTTCTTTCTCAATCTCTTTATACACAGAGATATACGTATTCATTTCTATACCGTTAATTCATTTGTTTAAAGATGTTTAATTTTTTAAAGCCAAATAATTTAGACTTGTGAAGTGCTTGATGATGCATAAGAGATATGGGGTGTGCATCCTCAGTGTTCCCTCAAAGTGGATGCTTTAATTTGAGACATCACAAACAGTGAAATATAATGTGGAATCCTTAGAGGACTGACCCCTTGAAATTATGGGCTTAGTTTGTCCAGTATTGAGACAATTCTAATTGTGGATTTGTTACATAAACAAGTGTTATTGCGGGGCTTTTGCATCTATATTCGGTTTTGGGGTCACAATTGAACCTATACCCACTTTGCAAAAAAAAATTGCAAGTCTTATACCCACTTTATGATCAACTTCAGACTTATCGGGTCTGAAGTGAAAAAATTGCACTTTAGGTGCACTTAAGGCCAAATAGGTCTGAAGTGCAACCAATGGTTTCATACACTCAAGGCCAATAAGTCTGAAGTAAAAAATTGCACTTTAGATGCACATAAGGCCAAAATGTCTGAAGTGCAACCAACGTTTTCTGGCACTTAAGGCCAAATAGGCCTGAAGTGCAAATTGCCCAGAAACAGAAATTTGTTCTTCGAATAACAATCCAATATACGATTTAAACCTAAATCTACTCCAAATGAGCTAAAATTTAAAATGTAACCTCCAAATATCATCAAGAACAAACCCCAATAATCAATTTGTCAAAACAACAACAAATCTAATGAACCCATTTTGCAATTAAGAAAAAGAAAGAGAAGAAACCCTAAGCAATAATAAAAAACAAAGCGCCACAACAGCTCACCACTGTAAATATCATAAACTAACTTAAAATATATTCACAAACACCGTATAAAATTACTGTTACCCGAAGAAGAAGAAGAAGAAGAAGAAGAAGAAGAAGAAGAAGAAGAAGAAGAAGAAGAAGAAGAAGAAGAAGAAGGAGGAGGAGGAGGAGGAGGAGGAGGAGGAGGAGGAGATCAATTTGGCCCGAAGTTGTTTAAATAGTGGGTACAAGTCAAAAAATAATTTAAAAAGTGGGTGCAGATTAAATGGAGGCGACCAAATAGGGTTCCCGTGTAATTTTTACTATTATTCCTAACTAACAAAATGCTAGTTCGAAAGCATAAGAGGTTACTTTGGTTCATGTACTAATTAAGCGCGAATTATAATGTAGGAATTATTGTGCGTTGATAATGATGTTGTGATTGTTTACTTTAAGAACTTTTATTTTTATTTTTTACTTTTATTCATGTATTTCTGATATATGTACTCTTAAATATATCACATTCTATCCCGCATAAAATAATAATATATATTTTTACATAAATTATATGAGTATTAGTATTGTGGAGCTAATAAGACAAACAACATATTGTATTTAAGTTATGTGACGATTATTTCATTTATAAGGCTAACCAAACATTATAAAACTTCTGCAAAACTAATGTTATGATCATTTTTGTCAAGGTATTATAGTATGTATAATTAAACAGACTGTATAATATGTAGTCATTTTTTAGTTAAAAAATTATATTGTTTTTCACTTCTTGATGGGCAATAAGTGAAATGTGGAATCCATTTAGGATAATATTCGTTGATGACAAGGACTGGCCCATCAATATTTTGGGCTTCGCTTGTCCAAAGAGACCATTTTAATTGTGGATCTGGAACATGTTGGAGAAGTATATGTTGTTTACTAAATTAATGAAATACTGACACCTATATTGTAACGAGCCGATCGGTCGCTTTGCTTATTAGAACCCCGTTCCCCTAAATAAGACTTCCCGTACGTGCTTTTACTGTTTTATGACTTGCGGGGATGGCAAATTGTGAATTGGAAGTGTTCGGGTTGAAATCGGAACACTTGGTTCCTTAAGGTTGGCTTAAAAGGCCAAGTTTGACTTCGTTCAACATTTTGAGTAAACGACCTCGGAATCGGGATTTGACAGTTCCAATAGGTTCGTATGATAATTTCGGACTTGGGAGTATGTTCGGATCAGGTTTTGGATGACCCGGGAGCGTTTCGGCGCCTAATAGTGAAAGTTGGTTCTTTGAAGGTTTTAGAAGTTCTTTAAATTTGGTTTGGAGAGGGTTTTTGTGTTATCGAGGTCCAAACAGAATTCCGAGACCGAGAATAGTTCCGTAATGTCATTTAAGACTTGTACGCAAAATTTGGTGTCATTCCGAGTAGTTTAAGTACGTTTCGGCGCATTGGAAGTATATTGAAGAACTTGAAGTTCATAAGTTTGATCAATTGGTTTTGGGGTGTGATTCTTAGTTTTAATGTTGGTTCGGGCATTCCAAGAGTTCAAGCGAGTCCGTTTTATGGTTCCGAACTTATTGGTATGTTCGGGCGGGGACCTAGGGTCCCCGAGTGTCAATCGGACGAGGCTCGGACCAAGTTGGAACTTTGGAGCAAGAGATGAAGCTACAACTGCTATCATAATCGCACTTGCGCTTGGCCAGCCGCAGGTGCGAGCCACGAGCCGCAGAAACGAACGAGCGAGGGCAACCCAGGCACAGCAGGTGCGGATGTTTTGGCGCACCTGCGCGACCGCAGGTGCGGGCTTGTGCGCAGATGCGGTCCATTGAGTCCGCAGATGCGGAGCTTGGCCAATAGGGGAAAATGCGCACCTGCGATGTCTTTTCCGCAGGTGCGGGACCGCAGATGCGACCAAGGCACCATAGGTGCGAAAATCACTGGAGGCAGTGAGCTTGTTTTAAATACGGGACTTAGGCATTTTTATCCCATTCTTCACACAGTTGGGCGATTTTAGAGCTTCAAAAAGGGGGATTTCGACCTAGCTTTTGAAGGTAAGTAATTTCTACCTAATGTGAGTTTAATACATAGTTTATGGGTAGATTATAACATGTAAATTAGTGAAATCCAAGGGTTTAGATGAAAATCTAGGTTTTTGATAAAAATGAGATTTTACCACAAAACTGATTATGAAACTTAGTGAAAATCATATATTTATGTTCCTAAGGTTATGGGTAATAACTTTCTTCGAAAATTTCCGGAATCCGGGCATGTGGGTCCGAGGGTGAATTTTAGGAACCTTACATTTAGGGTTGTGTAATCACTTAAATAGTTATAATATGAACTTTTGAACATATATTAATTAGTTTTTACATTATTTGAATAGTTTTGGATTGTTCGGCACCGATTTGAGGGGTTGAGCATAATTTTGGACGGGAAAGTAGGCCATGAGACGAGGTAAGTCTCTTTTCTAAACTTGTACGAGGAAATTTACCCCATAGGTGAACTTAATTAATATGTGTTGCTATTTGTTGGGGCTACGTACGCACGAGGTGACGAGGGTCCGTACGTAGCTACTACTCCTGTTTATGTTCGGGTAGTTTTGGGCTTACTCCATGCTTTGTGGACACCGTTATCTGATTATATTTGTTACTTGTATCGAATGGAACTAAGTTGAGGATTTTAATATTTCAAAAGCTTCAAGTTGAATTTCTTTATTTTGAAAAGAATCGCGAAAGATTATGATTTATTGATAAATGTATATTTAACCGTGTCGCAAGTTTATTCAGCGAGCGGGGTGACTCTTTCCACTACTCTGATGGGAGCGGGCCGTTCGCCTCGGTAGGTTAATAGATGCATCTATGGTTTGTGCCGTTCGACCCTCGGCAGTGCATAGTTTATATTTATGTTTGATCGAGCCATACGTCCTCGGTGAACTTCGTGTGTGATAATAGAACTGGTAGTCCCTTTGATAT